GCCTTCCAACCCATAATCTTCTTCAAGCTTATCGAACAACCTCTTACCAATAGTATTAAATTTCGAGGCTGTATCAATTAACGCTTTGACTGGGAATTTTCCTTCAACAATAGTATCAACGAACATGTTAAGTATATTTAATAATGTATATTACCACGAAAAATAACTAATGTCTGATATATAAATTCCTATTAAATTATATTTTTTATTAATAGTAAGTATTTATTGATTAATCGAGAAGTCCTAGTACCAGTAGTTCATCTCGAATAGTCTTTTCTGGATCTTCATCATCATACCAAATATAAAAGAGATAAATATCATTTTCGTCACAAAGGTCTTTTTTAAGCTGATCACGAATTAATAAATTATTAAATCCTTCTAGGGTTCTGTGAAAATATTTGACATAGAGTTTATGTTGTTCTCCCTGAACTTTTATAGCTAGACCATATTGAGGGTAATAAATGTCAAGTTCCAATCCATTGGGATGTTTAGATGTTTTTAAGAAATCAGGCCTACGATTCTTAGATGGTGGTGAACCTAACAATTTTGTTACAATTTCACAACACAGATTTTCACGTACTGTATATATTTACTACAGAATGGACACCAACACCCTTTGAGAATGGTATGTGATGGAGCAGACCAAGTATGTCCTTTAGTACAGCGCCAATCTAGATTTCTTACTGAATTGGTATATACAGATGAAAGACAAATCCCTCCTCTATCTTTTGCAATTTTTTTCATCTCTTCAATTGTATGAGTTATTCTTCGTTTCCTATAGCAACGTTGACACCAAGATTTATTATTTTTGATACGATTAAATGGTGCCAACCATTCATGCCCTTCAGAGCATTTTCAACGTAATGGTATATGACTATTGTAGTATTTTTCAGAAAGACATTCTCCATTCCTACTATATGCCACACATTTAACCTCTTCAAGAGTATAAGCTCGTTTGATACTAGAGATAATACGTGAACAAGTTAAACACCAAGTATTATGATTTTTCACACTGCTTAGAGTAGCGTGCCATGTATGAAATTTATTACATTGCCAGTATAAAAGAGTATTATTATTAATATACCGATTGGAAAGGCATTTTCCGTTTCTTTTTCTAGCAATTTCAATAGCATCATCTAATGATAATTTTGTCATTTCGAATTAACGATACTTTTAAGATTTCATACTTTTAATTTCTACGAGACAATTTATAAACATTGGTAAAATAATTATATTATATACTATATCTTTATCCAGAAAAAATAACTAATATCTGATATATAATTATACATTCTCAAGATCAAAAGAGTCGGTTGCAGATTTGGATGCACAATCCTCTAAGCCAGCTGAAAAAATTAAATATGGCAGATAGGTAGGCCAACTTGCTTTCCTACATTAGGTAAATATAATTTATTAAACAAAAAATTATCATGCGGTATCTTTTATATGACTCGATAATTAATTTTTAGGAGCGATACCTTAAATTTCATGGGTGATATGGTGGCAGTGGATCATGCTTAGCACGTATTTCATTCATAGTCAGCAATTTTACTAAACCTTCTAATGGAAGTTTTTTTCTGTATTCTTCTGCCATCAGCTGGTTTTTGGGATTTAATCCTGCGATGAAAATATTCTTGAGAAGTTTCTCCTTTATAGAAAGATTAGCTTGTGCCGATGATGGGTTCTCTTGCTCACATACCTTTATCGTCTTGACATATTCATCCACGGACTGATTGTGTTGTGTAGGCGGCGGAATTTTGGAAGGTTTCAATTCTGGTGAACTCGGAGGTGTATTTGAAGGCGAACTCCGATCTACCCAATTAATTGTATCTCTTATACTGAAATCTGACCAAGATCCTCTCATTGTTATATTTTCAGAAATGTAATGATATATTTAATAATGTATTTTTTACTTCGTATTAATAATAATTTAATATTTACAATGACCGAGGATAATAACAATAGCAGAGATAGATCAAAAAGTATGTACCAAGGCACTAGCCCCGCTATTGAAATCGACTATGATGAAGAATTGGCCAACCTTACGCAAAGGCAGTTAAAATCACATGTGGTTAATATCAATGGTAAAGATATAGAAAGCATTCTCGATTCGGGCGGACAATGTCAGGTTATCACCTGTGAAAAAGCAAAAGAGCTGGGTTTGGAAATGGATAGTGTAAAGCCACATAAAAGGATACCCAGGACCAAAGGGGTAACTCTAAAGAGCCATATTACTGATAGAGCGATATCTGGTATTGTTAAACAAGTATCAGGTAAAAAAATTCAGATTTCTATTCGCCAATTACTGAAGATAGTGAAACCCGAGATTGGACTAGAGATTATTGACTTAGTAGCAAATCCAGATATTTCTCGAAGAAAACGTACACCATGCAAGGTTAAAAGAAAAAAGATAATTTTAAATGATACCACATCCTCGTCTTCATCCGAATCTGTGTTCGACTCTGAATCCGATATTGAGATCAGTGAATAGGTATCAAAAGTAAAGAAGCGTGATTAGTAATTAACTTTCATCGTAGAGATAGAATGGTCTCGCTTGCTCTGGTGTCTGATTTTTTCTGCAATAATTTACTACTACATAATTTTGTACTGGAGAAGCATGGTTATCAGAGCTGTGGCGTAGGGCTTCTCCAGCGATTGTATAAGCATGGGCCATATTTTTCGCTCCATTCGTTACTACAGAATAAACTGCTCCTAATTTACGTAAATATTTAGGAATTAAATCATAATCTTTTAAAAATCTATTGAACCATTTAACCCCTGGCTTACCTGGATCACCCATTCAACCAGAAGATATAGCATTCTGTATCCAGGTTAGTAATTCTTTGGCTCGTTCTTGATTCTTTTCCATAGATCTAAATTTTCTAGGGATATCTGGTTGGCCCCTGTTCTTTGCATAACCTGTTACTCC